GCAAATATAAAAGTAAAAAACTGATTCAAAATAATAACAACTATAATAGTCTCAATGATACTAAAATAACACTGTTTTGCATCAAAAAAAATGATCCCATTGGCAGAATTTTTTTTTTTGTTTTAAACAAAAACTTGAATTTGATACATTTTTCAGAAAACAACACTTTATACCTTTAGTACTTTTCCTTCTCAAGTAAATGTGTCTTGATTTAAGAATGTTTAGATATTTGTACTGTAAATGACAAAAATACTGAGTAAGAAAATCAATCAATCAATTTTTTGCATTCAGTCTAGCTGACTAAAAGACTAATTTGACAATTATATAAATATTGACAGTATTCATATAGCGCCATGTTAAATGTTGTACTATCTGTATACCGAAAGCCTTTTATGCCAGGTGTTGATATATATTATACTAGCATGTTTCACTTCAGTCTGTATGACACGTTGTATATAGGTTGTTGATTTTTCTTGAAATAACTTATCAAACTTTTACCAAAGAACATTAATACAAGAGTAATGTACGCTGCTGTAAATGTATGTATATTAATGATTTAAACCAATACAGCTGTTTATGGTCCCACATGCAGTGCTGTGTAAGGAAATATTAATAGTGCACTTGCGCCATCTGCTGGACACATACAAGCAGCACAAAATAAATATATAAAATCAATACAATTAAATATAAATCAAATCTAAAATAGATAATAATATAAATAAAACGATACAATGCTCCTCAAGTAAATGCATCTTAATTTAAGAATCTATCATATATATATATATATGATAGATAGTAATGACAAGCTAATAATATATACAGTATATATATATATATGTACACACACACACACACATACATATGTATATGTATATATATATAATCAATACAGTAATGAGAATGACATTGTTATGCTAATGAGGACTGGGAAAATAGGATTAATGTTCTTCATGCAAAACATAATTCCTGATTTTTTTTTTGTTTTTTTTTTGGGTGAAATATGACCTGAACCTGTTCAGATTCACCTGAATAACCAGCGTAATCAAAGAGTAATACACATGATTCTTTTATTGCCACCAATCATAAAGAATAGGAATAATTCATACAAGCAGAGATGGGACCTGTAAACACGGTTTGGGCTTTGGGAGGTTGAATTCTGTCACCTGTTTTATGGCCTGTGAACCGCTGTGATCAAACGCTCAGTGGAAGGTGCTTTCAAGAGAAAAGCACGATAGTACAAATAAAAGGCACGTTTTCCTAAACACAACTCGGGATGGCAAAGCAACACTGTAGTTTAGTAATGAATAATAAGATTTAGGATAGTTTTGTTGCAGCATTACAAAAACAGTTAAACCACCACTGATTAGTTGGAGTCAGTTTAATGAGTGTAATATAATAGAACATCTTTCCCTAGGATTAGATAAATAAGGTTCAGTGAAATTATGCTGGGATTTCGGAAAAATCCTTCAGTAATTTCGCAGACTAGAAATTTGTGAAAATATTATGTAAAGATTTAGAGCAGCTTAAACTGAACTAGTCTTTCTTTTCAAAACCTTCTGTTGATTCATCATGATCTGCAATTTAGGTTTGGCTAATAATAATGCAACTTTGACTCGCGAAATAGAGGGTGATATAATATTAATCAACAAAAATATGCACTTCATGTATATGCACATGTAAAATGCATATACATGGTGATTCTATCTTGTGCTGTAAATTGTTCAGTGAAAATATGAAGTATGAGATTATTTTATTGTTTGTATGTTATTTAGTATTTAATAAATTAAATAGAATTCATTTAACTGTAAAATTACAATTATTTAAAACTAAAAATAGATTTTTCTCATTCATCCTGTACCTCCACATCAATATATTCAGAGTTTAATATGACAAAATTCACTACATAAATATCATGTGTTGTGTTTGTGTGAGAATGACGATATTCAAAGTGATGCAATAATGCAAACGATAACAACAATCATATTCAAATTTAGAGAAAGAAAAGAGATCCACAGTTGAGCATATATGAAACTGCACATCATTCTAGACTACAAAACTTCTTTAATATTAATGCAAATCACAATTTATGGGTGAATCTCACCAAGAAAGGTCATATTCCACTCTGCCAAAAAAAAAAAAAAAAGAAGAAAATAAATTATATTCAGCATAAAGCAAATGAAGCTTGTTTCTAGGACCATTTATATTTTTTGGATTATTCTCATGACAATAATAAGCTTCATTGACTACCTTTCTGTTGATTTTGGGGTCAATTTCCTGAGTTATTTTATGAGATTCACCCTTATTTATGCATGATAACTTTATAAGTTAATATCTTAGTGCTTTTTTCCAAACAGTAATTATATTGGATAACATTTCCCCCCCCCCAAAAAAAAAAAATTATATTCAGTATTTAAAAAAAAAAAAAGAAACCTGTTTGCAGGAACATTAATATTTTGTTGCATTATTTTTATGGGGAATTTTCATTATAAAAAAAAAATGATATTCAGTATTTAAAAAAAAAAAAAGAAACCTGTTTGCAGGAACATTAATATTTTGTTGCATTATTTTTATGGGGAATTTTCATTATTTTCATTTTGGGGTTAGTTTCATGACGTTTTTATGAGATACACCCTTATGCACTAAGATATAAGTTCAGATCTTAGTGCTATTTTCCAAACAGCAATCAGATGCAAAAATAAATAAATAATAATAATTTAATAAAAAAAAAGAAGAAAACCAAGTATATTCAGCATAAAAAAGGAAACCTGTTTGTAGGACTACTAATATTTTTTGAATTATTGTCAAGATAATTAAGCTTCAATGTCTTTATGACAAAAATACATTTTTTTGATGATTTTTGGGGTCAATTTCTTGACATTCAGTCTCACGCTTGCATATCTTGGAGCTATTTTCTAAACATGAATAGTATTAGATGCAAATTTCATTTATCTGAAATGTGGATTTAAAGAAAAACACTAAATGCTACAGAAGCATGTTTACGATATAATAAATATGAATATTTTAAAGCGTGGCTAAAATGGTGAAAAATCCAGTAATACTCCAGTTTGTCCAGTAATTAGACTGTGCAAAAACACACCAGACCGTCTCTTTCACACAGAAAAGCGTTAATTGTGCTATTCATTTAGAACGGTTTAATTTAAAATAATCATCAGAAGAATAATTATAATACCAGTGTATTATATGTGTGTGTTTGTGAAGCCCACAGTCGAACCATGAAAGCCAGAACCCATAGAAACATCCAAGGTATAAAGTAAAGGCCTGAGCCGAGCAACTACACACTTCTGACACGTTTAAAGAAGGAGCTAAACTCAAGGAATACTGGGAAAGCATAAATATTTTACATTGCGAGCACACAAAAGCACCTCCGCTGGGGCTCTGGATGCTAGCAACAATGACCACAAGTACAATTAAGGTTTTAAGTCATGCGAGTGCCAGAGGTTTCAACGTCATAGAAAACTGAAGGTGTCTGTGTGTGTGTGTGTGTGTGTGTGTGTGCAGCATGTCGGAGTGTGATTTCTGTTCAAGCAAACACATTCACGTCATCTTCCCTCTGAAAAGCAGTGATTTGATAGAAGCTACCAAATGATCTCGCGCACTAGCTGCAGTAAAGGACGAACTCCTAAAATAGGTCGATATAAACAGCTTTGTTTTTTGTTTTTCGTTTACGTTTTCTCAAATAGTAGTTTTCCTTATCTCTTACCAACGAACATGAAAATCCGGTTGTGCTTGATAGACAAAACTAAAACTTTTTTATTCTAAAATACTCTTTATCTAGTTTTCGTCACATGCCTCTTGGAGGCCGAGTTCATCCAAACTCCCCTTTCGAACGGCTGTCTTCTTCAAAAATAGAGATTCTCAGCCAACGCAATAAAATAACTGTCAGTTCTAGAATTCAGCTTTCGGTGAGAGCGCTTTCGCATCATCCAAACTAAAATCCTGCGTCGTTGGACAAGCGTCTCCGACGGAGATCAGTCATCTGAGCGTGTGTGTTTTCGTAAAAGAGCGGCGCCGTGAGCCTCCTGCGTGATTTCAGGTGTCGTCACTGTTTTCTTTCCACCGGCTGCTTCAAACACAGTTCGCTTCCCGCCGACACGATTGGCAGGTTGTTGTCACGGTGATGGCCAATCAGGTGGCTTATGCTCTCGAATATGTGATCTTTGGTCCGGACCTTGAGGAGACATAAATTTGATTTGAAAGTTTAAGCACACATGACAGAAACATGCTTACATGCTCTACCATTTAA